ACTTACTAAAACTAGAACTAAACGACAGCCAAAACGAGATTAGTGACCGTTATATGGTACAGTTGTCATTTGTGCTTCTCTTAAACTCAACTGAGTGGGTGGTTGGCGGGTGCTCTGGTGTGGTTTGCTCCTTCTTTCCTATCAAACATCTACCGTCCTTATCTCCCCTCCTTCTTTTTTATGTTTGTTACTCTCTTGTAATACCTCTACTAATCTTCTGGCGCTCACATGATCTTAATCAGTTGCGAGCGCCGTAAAACCTCTACTAAAGCTAAAACTTCTAATATTCGGTACTTATATGACCTTATTGTGTTGCAAGTGCCGTAAAACACTTACTAAAACTATAACTAAACAACAGCCAAAACAAGTTCAGTGACCGCTATATGGTACAGTTGTCATGTGTGCTTCTCTTAAACTCAACTGACTGAACCTAATATTCGTAGTTGTAGATATAGTTTTGAACGCAATTGGCCGTTTTGAGGTCAAGGACTCCAGTTTTATCACACTAAAAAATCTATTGTTGGCGCCGGTAACCAAACAGGCGGGCGATCCTAGGCTACTTCCTCGAGCCAGTTCTTGTGTACAGTGTTGAACAAACGTCTGCTCCTGGAACCTGAGAGCCACAGTGACGTCACACGTCATGTGACATTACAATCAATTCTATGTTATCACCCCGGCTAGTAGGGAGATATATTAATATTTGTGAGGCAGCGTGGTGGAATCAGGCTCTCGTCAATTTTTGAGCATGTAGAGTTATTGGTATCATCTTAAAGCTTGTTCACTTGTCTTTATTTGGATGAAAAAATATCCATTTATCTTGAATACGAGTCCAGATATTTGCGAATGACGGAGGTGGGGGTCACCTGTTTTCAGGGGTAAAATTAGTGAGAAAATGGCCGCCGAAGATTAGTTATTTCCTAGCTTAAGAGTCTGTGGTAAATGAAAAAAAATATTTTTGGTGCCTTTAATCAACATTTTTAAGAAATCCACACAGAAATGAGTTCTTTCATGGGCATGAAAGGTGTTGGGCCAAAAAGCTAAATTTTGATAAAAATTTACAAACCTGCAGAAAAATGCCAGTATCTTCACTTTGATTATTTTGACGAGAGCCTGATTCCACCAGGCTGCCTCATGTTAACGTCCTATGTTCAGCCACTTAAATAACGTTGCAGTGTTGCAGGGGGTGTTACACCTATACAATTTGGCGATTCAGGGTGGTTGGCGGGTGCTCTGGTGTGGTTTGCTCCTTCTTTCCTATCAAACATCAGTCGTCTTTATCTCTCCTCCTTCTTTTTTTGTGTTTTGTTACTCCCTTGTAACACCTCTAATCTTCGACGCTTATATGACCTTATTGTGTTACAAGTGCCGCGCGTAAAACTTTTACTAAAACTACAACAACAAAAAAGAACGGACGGCCGATCCTAGGCTACTTCCTCGAGCCAGTTCTTGTGTACAGTGTTGTACAAACGTCTGGCCCTGGAACCTGAGAGCCACAGTGACGTCACACGTCATGTGACATTACAATGGACAATATTATCACCCCGGCCCAGATACAGTTTTTTGCAGTGGGCGCTCTTGTGGCCTAGAGGTTAAGGTGTCTGCCTCGCCCCGGGTTCGAATCCCTGTAGTGACCGATACATTTTCTTCCCTAAATTTGTCTCCATTCAATTCTGTTCCTTCTCTCTAGCAATGTTCTGTCGTCTGCTTTCGTCTCCACTCACCTCCTTTGCCCCTTCCTCTAGGCTCCTGACTCTTTCTGCAGCCTTTCTACTGCTACTCCTTGGCTCCTTCTTACTGCTGTCTTTCAGACACACCCCTGATCTTCTGGTAGGAAAAATCTACACATAGCCTTCTCGGGCAAGGGCGAAAAACCCCCGAGGTTCCGTGTGCAAGTTGCGCACGTAAAAGATCCCTTAGTGGTCTAAAATCGATAAGACTAGTCTTCGGCCGTCACCCGGACAAAATTCAAAATTTTCCTACCAACTGAAAAGTGTTTAACGTGTCCCGTGCGCTCATAGGACCTTATGCAGTTGCGAGCACCGTAAAACACTTACCAAAAACAAAAAACCCAAACAAACCAAAAAAAACCCC